CCCTATTATAATTTACTTTGTATACTCGAGAAGGGAAACCCTTGCTTTGTGCCTGCAAGAAGGGTGAGTGGTAGACACCAACTCTCAGCCTTGCAAGTCAAAAAGGGAATAAAGAAGGGAGAGGCTATGTATTTGGTAACACTGAAAGAGATTGACCCTAGGGACAAAGTTAAGTAAGAAGTCCCTCCCATAATTGCCTGTGTTTTGGTAGAGAACCAAGACATTATGCCTGCTGAGTTGCCCAAGAAGGTTCCACCACATAGAGAGATGGATCATGAGATCGAGCTGGAGCCAGGAACTCGGCCACCGGCCATGGCGCCATATCGTATGGCACCACCCGAGTTGGAGGAATTGAGAAAGCAACTAAAGGAGTTGATTAACGCAGGTTTCATCCGACCATCAAAAGCACCTTTTAGGGCACCCGTCTTATTCCAAAAGAAGTAGGATGGGTCCTTGTGCCTATACATAGACTACCGGGCTCTCAACAAGGTAACTATTAAAAACAAATATCCTATTCCTTTAATAGCTGACTTGTTTGATCGCCTGGGAAAGGCAAAGTACTTCTCCAAATTGGATCTAAGGTCTGGGTATCATCAAGTTCGAATTGCCGAAGGAGATGAACCCAAGACCACCTGTGTGACACGATATGGGTCCTTCGAGTGGTTAGTTATGCCTTTTAGACTAACCAATGCACCAGCCACATTTTGCACTTTGATGAATAAGATCTTTCATCCTTATCTTGATCGATTCGTGGTGGTGTACTTAGACAACATTGTTGTTTATAGCAACACACTGGAGGAACATACTGAACACCTCTAGATTGTGTTCAAGACCCTTCGTGAAAATGAGCTTTATGTGAAGAAGGAAAAGTGCTCCTTTGCTATGGAGGAAGTCTCTTTCTTGGGACATGTCATCTCACATGGCTGCCTCAAGATAGATGAGAAAAAGGTACAAGCTATAAAGGAATGAGAGCCTCCAACATGTGTGGCTGAGCTGCAGTCCTTCCTGGGATTAGTAAACTATTATCGACAATTTATCAAGGGCTACTCGGCAAGAGCTGCCCCTCTCACAGAATTGTTGAAGAAGAACAAGTGTTAGGAGTGCCAACAAGCCTTTGAGGATTTGAAGGCGGCTGTTATGGAAGAACCAGTGTTAACACTTCCTGACTTCTCCAAAACCTTTGAGGTACATACTGATGCCTCTAACTTTGCTATAGGAGGTGTCCTAATGCAAGAAAGGCATCCTATTGCCTTTGAAAGTTGCAAGCTAAATGATACCGAGAAGCGGTACACGATCCAGGAAAAGGAGATGACGGCCATAGTCCATTGCTTGTGTACTTGGAGGCATTACTTGCTGGGGGTAAAGTTTATCATCAAGATGGACAATGTGGCTACTAGTTACTTCCAGACTCAGAAGAAGTTGACGCCAAAGCAAGTAAGATGGCAAGACTTCTTAGCTGAGTTTGACTATGTGTTGGAGTATAAGCCAGGAGCAGCTAATGTTGTTGCTGATGCTCTAAGTAGAAAAGCAGAACTGGCAACCTTAACCCAATTCAGTGGCGACTTGGTCGAAAAGGTTAAGGAAGGAATGGCCCAAGATCCCATAGCCCTACAGCTAATGGAACTAGCAAAAGAAGGGAAGACTAAGAGATTTTGGGTGGATGATGACATCCTTTACACTCTAGGAAGGCGCATGTATGTCCCTAAATGGGCAAACTTAAGGAAGGAGCTGATCAAAGAGTGTCACGACTCTAAATGGGCAGGTCACCTAGGTCAAAGGCGAACTTTGGCTTTGCTAGAAATAGCTTATTATTGGCCTCACATGAGGGAGGATGTAGAGCTTTATGTGAAGACTTGTCTTTTATGCCAACAGGACAAGGTGGACAACCAATTGCTTGGAGGACTGCTCAAACCCTTACCTACACCGAGCCAACCATGGGAAAGTGTTTCCTTAGACTTCATCTCAGCATTACCTAAGTCAGAAGGATTTGGATCCATCATGGTGGTAGTAGATCGATTCTCCAAATATGCAACTTTCATAGCTACCCCGACAGACTGCACGGCTGAGGAAGTGGCTCGGATGTTTTTCAAAAATATGGTAAAGTACTGGGGCCTTCCTAAAACTATTATCAGTGACAGAGATCCAAGGTTCACAGGAAAGCTGTGGACAAAACTATTCAAACTATTGGGGATGGAGCTACACTTCTCAACTAGCTTTCATCCTCAAACAGATGGGCAAATTGAGAGGGTGAATGCTTTGCTTAAGTGCTATTTGTGGCACTTTGTTAGCGCCAATCAGAAGGACTGGGCTAAGTTGCTTGATGTGGCTCAGTTCTCTTACAACTTACAGAGGAGCGAGGCGACAGGGAAGAGTCCATTTGAGATTGTGATGGGACAACAACCGATCACCCCACATGCCCTCACAACCTCCTATAAAGGTAAGAGCCCTGGAGCTTTTAACATGGCTAAGTCCTGGCAGGAATGAGCAGATGAAACAAGATCATTCCTCGAGAAGGCTGCTAAGAAGATGAAGAAATTTGCAGACAAATGAAGGCGTGTAATAGAATTCCAAGTGGGAGACATGGCAATGGTGAAACTTCTCCTACAACAATTCAAAGCCTTCAGATCAGTACACAAGGGCCTCATTCGCAAATATGAAGGTCCTTATAAGGTAATCAAGAAGGTAGGGAAAGTCTCATATAAATTGGATCTCCCTACTAATTTAAAGATTCATCCTGTCTTCCATGTTAGCATGTTGAAACCCTATCATGAAGATTAGGATGACCCGACGCGCGGAACATCATCACATGCCCCACCGACCATTACTAAGGCATATGATCGAGGAGTTGAAGAAATACTTAGTCACCAAGTTGTGTGGAAAAGAGGTGTGCCACCAGACACAAAATACTTGATCAAGTGGAAGCGATTGCCAGAGAGTGAAGCAACATAGGAATCTCAAAGAGATCTTTGGCAATTTGAAGAACTACTTCGATCTTATAAAGATGATGCCGTGACGAGGACGTCACTGGAATAGGTGGGGGAGAATGTGATAAAGATAGAATTTTCATGAGGTTAAGATATTCTAGAAGTTTTCGAAATGATCTAGGATAATCAAGAAGGCCCCGGAGTCTTCTGGAATACGCCGGTATGACCTCGAAAGACCTAGATATCTCTAGAGTAGTGTAGAAAGCACTTGAAGCATCTAGATCATTCTAGGGATATCTTGCTCTTGTACATTCTAGTAGTCTCCTTGTAAATATCAAGATATTCCTTGTAGATATTTCTATAGAATAATCTAGAGATAGAATGTACACCGTTAGATCGAATCAATCCCAACCGTCCATTAAGGAGGTGGGAATTTTCTAGAGAAAGGGGGAGGCCTATAAATACCCCCTCACCCCTCATTTGTAACTCACTTAAGCATAGTATAAAAGCTCTCAAAGTTCATTCACTCAAGCTCTCTACTCTCTACTTGTGCATCTAGCTATCTTAGCCTCTTTGCCTACTTGTGGGATTCGGCTGACTTAGCAAAGATCAAGAGAGGGATCAAGCTAAGGCCGGCACGGTTCAAGGGAAGGGAGTTCCAAGGCCGTGACATTAAGCTCAAGAAACCTTAGAATGCTTCTTGGTTCTGGAAAGGCATTTTGGAGTCTAAAAACATTATACTATCCCATTTAAATTGGTAGGTAGGTAATGGTTCTAGTATTCCTATTGAGCATGAGCTCTAGTGGAAACTAACTAACATTAATCTCTCCCATAGACTTAATGTTCAAAAGGTCTCTGATTTACTAATTTCTAGTTCCCCTATTTGTCTTCTTATATTTGGAATAGACCTTTAATTTTTCAAATATATAGTAAAGATGTGGCCCAAGCTATCTTTAAAATTCCTTTGCCTCTATGCCCTACTATTGATAAGTTGATCTAATCAAGTAATTCGGATGGCTCTAATACAGTAAAGAGGGGTCTTTTGCAACTTTACATATTTATATCAATGGTGTTTGATGAATCTTTTTGGAATTTTCTTGAAAAAATTAGCTTACCTCATAAACAACTTTTTTTTATTTGGAAATTGTTACACTCTGCACTCCCAATTGGAGATATTCGGAGACATCATCATTTAGATGTTCATTCACATTGTGTTTTTGGTTGTGTGGAATTAAAATCATTAACCCTCCTTTTTAGGAGTTGTCATTATGTCATATTAATATGGTTTGGTGCTTGTCTATTCTATTCCCTGTTTTGAAATAGTGGCTAGTGATTTTTTTACTTAGCTTATCACAACTCTTTTAAAATAGTGGCTACTGATTTTTTTGGCTCTGCTATCCAAAGAAATTATTTCACTGCATTCTTCTGAAGCATTTTTTTTTTATTTCTGCTGGTGCAACATATTTATATGCTAGCTAATTATTTTGCTTCTATTTCATTCAATGTTTTTCAGGACTCAGGACTCTTCACTTCCCCAATCCCTTTAGAATTATCGCAAATTTATGCATTGTGGACAAATTTCATTTTATTAATTAATCATTTTATAAAAAAAAAAACTATGACGACAAAAAGCAACACACAGTTAAAACGTATGGTATTTTCCCTTGAACGGATGACCTCATCAGGAAGTGAAAAGGTCAAAGTAAAATTAAATCACAGAGCTTATAAATAAAAAAAAAAAAATTTCAATCGTACAGCCGTGTAGCATGCATATTCGCAGGTATACTGCCAGCTAAGAACGGGCCCACGACATCACATGTTTTTGTCTTTTTGTTTTGTTTTTGAAGGACACGCCATCACAATTATTTTTTTTTTAAAGAAATGATATGTTTCAAATACAGGCAATTTTTAAAGATTAGATATTTAAAAGTATAAAATATTTTTAATCTTTTAAAATATAATTATTATTTTAAAAAAAATTTATTAAATAAATAAATTTATATTTATTTTAAGGTAAATATTATTAAATAAAAATAAATATAAATAAATAGAGTTAGTTTAAAAATAAATAATTACTTTATATGAGGATGAGATTCAATTAAAAATATTTTATATTCTTAAATGAAGAGAGTATCAGACCACGTCCTTCTCCTCTATTTATTTGTTGGACATTATTCGACTCATGGGTCACTTTAACTCCATCAACTCCTGGCTTTCTTATCTAGAATCGTAGAATTTCAACTTCTCCACATCCATCCACCATTTCTATATGCTCAGGTAATTATCTCATCACTACTCCCCCTACTTCAGTTACCTTATAATCTTTATCAATGTTAGATCTCAGAGACACAATTAAACAAGAGAGATTGTTATATTTCATCGACTTCATATGCAAAATTGCATTCGTGAAGTTGAAGAGTAAAGGCAAGGGTATCTTGGGAAGAAAAGGGAAGCAGCTTTTCAAGTCTCACAAAGTGTGGGTTATAAGTGTAACTCCATCCTCTAGAGTCTAGTCATTTATGATACATGTTTCCTTTAAACTCGTACGTACAATGTTTTCTATGACAAGCTAATGTCATGTAAAAAGCTATCATGCATGAAACAAAATTAAATTCTCCATTCCATATTCCTTTTTAAATGTCATAATCCTTCCTTCAATTCCTTTCGGTTCTATTACCTCCTCCATAATGTCTATGTAACCCCGTTATCTAGTTTAATTGCATTGACTATTTAAGCTTAGCATAAACAGAGGTACTTGCATGTATGGAAGACACATTATGTGCCCTTTATGTTCTCTTAAACATTTTCCTTTGTGCCAGCATGACCAAAGAGAAGAAGAATTGGAACAACTAACATATTGTTAATCTATATTTCAAACCTCATTCACACTCTCTTCATGTTTCTCTCTCCTCCACGGCTCCACTTCCACCTCATCCACCTCCTATTTCTTTTCTTCCTGGTTTCTAGCCAGGGGTGGATTTTATATTGTGGTCAGTGGCGGAACCACGTTCCATGCACGTTGGGCGGCAGATAATGCTCCCTCTCACAGGAGAAAATTGCATATTTGGTATATGTAAAATTTGGGACCTTGCACTCCTATTTTTAGAATTTTGATTTCTCTCTAGACTCAAATAGAAATGTTTAAGTTCTCAGAATTTTTTTAAATATGATATTTTAACTCATATCCCATAAATTCAAACCAAAACTTTTAAACGCATTAGAAATGTTATTAAAAGAAATTGATAAATGAGTTGTTTATTTTATAATAAAACCCAATCACAACAAATTAAATTATCCTTTTGGTAATAGTTTCTTTTTTTCCTTCCAAATGTAAATTCTATATCAACCTTCTTAATATATTTTTGGCCAAAAAACCTTAACATATTTATCCCAATAAAAATATGCATAACTTTACTTATGCTATTGTATTTTTGCCAAGTGAAATTATTTTTTAAAATTATCATATTATTTTTTAATTATTAATTTTTAAATTAAATTTTCTTGCACCTGTAGCTCACATCTGCTACCACAATGTAGCTGCAATAATTAAACAAGGTCGTCCAATCATCAGATCCAGAAAATGATTACCCACACACTAATTAATCTACCCGAGACTCATCCTGGAGTTGGCTTCCCTCCGCTTAGGAAAGCCTCCTTCGCCTCTATGCTGAGGCAAGACAAACTTAGACAGTTTAAATTTAATATAAATAATATAAATTTAATATTTTTATTTTTTATTTTTAAAATAAAAATATATAAAAATTATAAAAAAAATTACAGTCTAGATTTAATGTAAATGGTCTAAATTTAATATTAAAATTTTTAATGAGTTTATTACTCTATTCAAAATATATTTATATTGTTCAGAATCTATCTAAAAAGTTAATTTAAATTTTTAATATTAAATCTGGATAATCTATATTAACTTTGGACTATCATATTAATAAGTATATTTATTAAAAATTTCACAATTGTTATATATTTTTTATTTTAAAAATAAAAAATAAAAATATTAAATATGGACGACCAAGATTTATCCCTAGCTGACTCCGACTTATCCTCTACTTTTCCTTCACCTCAACCAGAGCCAGAAAAATAGGCTGCCATTCCATGATTATTTAAGGATAAGGCTTGAATAGTATTCTAAAAAATGATACTTAGGGGCTTAAAAGATTCGGGCCTACCGTTTTTTTCAAAACAATTCAATAAGTTTCATTTTTTATTCAATAAATAAATTTAACTTCTTAAAGTAATATCATCAAAGTTCATGGTGTCAAAATTTTATAACATATTGATATTTTCGGATCTAATTGTAGTTCTCCCAAACATAAGTGCTCATTGTTCTATTTTATACATTTACGTGCTACAACTAATAAAGTCAATACTTTATTTAATTTTTAGTTCGTTCCCAAACATATTTATGCTAATAAAATTAAATGTATTTAAAACAAACATGTTAGTTGAAGTAAATATTTTCTTAAAATATTATTTTCTTAACAAAATGATTAATTTTATGATTTATTAATTTTAAATTTTAAGAAGCTTCTAGTTTATGATTCAGAATAATTCAAAAAAATTAATCATTTATTCCTTAAAATTTTGATTCCAATACAACTCAGTCATGAATATGAACTTGGATCTATTCAGTTTTGTAAGTTTTAATGATTTAATCTATTAATTTAGTTACAATTTAGTCCCTCGGGCACTATACCTTTTTTTTAAAAGATTCGATCTAGGGATTGATTATTAAATGGTTGGCATAGAAAATTTGAAAGGAAAATTAAATTTCTCATATATAATGAGATACATGATTCGTTCATTAACTGTCACATGAGTGACATGACTCTGCATTAAGACTCTTGGGTGTTGGGCTTTGGCCCTGTTTTTTTTTTTGGAAAAAAAAAAACAACAAAAGAAGAAGACGCTTGCACGAGTCCCGCTAGAAGGATTTCAACTAATTCTTGATCAACTTTGCTTCATAGAGGAATGGAGAAACCAGGAGCAAGTTCCATAACTATATCAGCACAACAACTTCAAAGCGCTATTTCACCTCAGTCTAGGAAGCCTTCCCTTCATCTTCTAGGTAATCTCTCTCTCTCTCTCTCTCTCTCTCTCTCTAATAGCAGTAAATGACCCTTTCCTTTTGTACCTTTAAAACTAGCTCATTCTATATATCTAATGAGGATTTCAAATCTCTCCTTTATGACAATCCTCGCAAAAAAAATTGATTCAGAAGAGCGAAGAGATAAGTACCCAAGTGTATGTGTTCCCCTTCACAAAGCAGCCGTGAAAGGTGATTGGAGAGCAGCGAAGCACATCTTAGAGAAAGACTGGACTTTAGTTTCTGCTGCCATAACCATGCGGCGGGCAACGGTTCTCCATGTGGCGGTCGGAGCAAACCGCACTCGCTTTGTCGATGAGCTGGTGAAGATTATGTGTCCAGAAGACTTGGAATTGCAAGACGTGAATGGGAACACCGCTTTTTGCATTGCTGCAGCAACTGGGAATTTACAGATTGTTCAGATAATGATGAGGAAAAATAAGAACTTGCCAACAATAAGGGGTGGTGCAGGAATCACCCCTCTTCACGTGGCTGCTTTACAGGGAAGAAGGGAAATGGCATGGTATCTATACTCTGATAAAACTGTTGTTAAGGTTTTTGAAGATAATGACTGGATCATACTGTTATTCTGCTGTGTCAACACTGGAATCTATGGTTAGTATATTACACATAGAGATGGAAGTAGAAGACAATAAGACATTACATACAAGTCTATAATTTAGAAGATAATATGACTTCATTAATTTATTCAATTGTGCGTGCAGATTTAGCCTTGGAGTTGCTTGAGAAGAGACCAGATCTAGCTTTTAAAAGGGATCAAGCTAATGAGACGATATTGCATATATTGGCCAGAAAGCCTTTAGGCATGTGAATTCTTTATTTATTCATTTTCTTCTAGCCCTTTCCTATCCATTGTTGAATATACTTTTGGAATGTGCAACTGAAAATGATGGCAAATAATTTTAAAATATGATTACAATCTAGTCAACATTCCCATGCTTGTTATTTTATCAAGGCTTTTTCTGCGTTCGACAAATATACAGTCACCATTGTTTTCTTTAGTCAAGCTGTAAATTATTTTGAACTGTCCGCATCAGGGAATTTACTTTTTATTTAACATGATAGTAGATTTATTATAATTAAAAAGAAATGGTGATATGTAATGAAACAAAACAAAAAATTATTGAGTAATAATATTTTGTAATTTTTCTTTCAAAATATTTTCATTTATTTTACAGTCTTGACTTAATCTCTGAACTAATCAAATGGTCAAATTGTGTTTCCTAGGTTTGAAACAAGCTCATCAACTTCGACTTGTAAAATATTTGTGGAGTATATTTCTTACTCGAGACGACAAGGAGATTTTGGGCAATATAAGAGTGCCTTCACATGTAGTATTTGATGCCATAGAAGTTGGAAATTTTGAGTTTCTAGCTGTGCTCACAAGTACCTATCCTGATTTAATATGGGAAGTTGATGAAAGAAATCGAAGTATAATTCACATTGCCGTTTTTCATCGTCATGCTAATATCTTTAATCTCATACAAGACATTGGCCCAATCAAAGATTTCATTGCAAGTTTTTTGGATAGCAGAGATCAAAGCAATTTATTGCATATGGCTGCAAAATTAGCACCGCAAGATCGACTGAACTTAGTTTCTGGAGCGGCATTTCAGATGACCGTTGAGTTGTCATGGTTTGAGGTATTTTTTTAGTACCCATATTTGGTCTATTTACAAGGTAGCTTTACATGCACATTGGTGGACCCTCAATGATTTTGCAAAATTTGAGAAATCAATTACGGCTTGTGAATAGTTCAATTTACTAATATGCATCCTTTAACATGGCAGGAGGTGAAGAAGATATCTCCACCATCATTCATAGAGATGAAGAATGCAGATGGCTTGACTCCTCACCAACTGTTCATAAAAGAGCATAAAGAGTTACTGAGTGATGCAGAATCATGGATGAAGGGAATAGCAAACTCTTGCTTGGTTGTTTCTACTCTTATTACTATTGGAATATTTTCTACTACATTCAATATACCAAGTGGTGTCAATGACAATACAGGAATCCCTAGCTTCTTGCAAAAAAGATATTTCCTGATATTTGGCACGTCTAATGCATTTGCAATGATCTCATCCTCAACCTCCACAGTCATTTTCTTGTCCATCCTCATCTCACGCTATGCAGAGCAGGATTTTCGCAAGTCACTACCATTTAAGTTGATATCTGGATTGGCTGCACTTATCATCTCCATGATAAGCATGATGATAGCTTTTGGTAGCGCTTTCTTTGTGACTCATTATCAGGGTTTGATCTGGGTTCCTAGCTTCATTTCTGTTATTGCTTTTGTACCTATATTTTTATTGGCATTTTGGCTATTCCCAGTTTGGTCTGATATAGTCTATTCAGCCTACTTTTGTAGGACTCTTTTTTGGCCAAGTAAGCATATGCTTTACTATGGTTAAAAAAAAAAAAAACATATGCTTTGCTAAAGAGTAAAGTAGGCAATTGTCATTGTAAGTGATGGATCTCTTCGTGTAATGTATTGACTTAGTTTAAGATCCCTTTTTCAATTTTTCTAGAAGTTTCTTATTATTTTTAATTGAAATTTCATCTTCTATCACATTCTACGCATTCTAATATTCTTGAAGAGAACTCGACCAAATGTCACATTTAATCAACTCGTACAGTCCATAGAATAATCCTCAGTCATTAAATATATGCTCAAGCCTATATAACTTTTGTGTATGTCCATCACTACAAAAAAGCAACCTTTAGCAATGGTTATTGAGGTCCCTTAGTAGTAGTTTTCACTGCTACGAGGTAGGATGGCAGTGGTTTGGCAAACCGTTGCTAAACATACTTTAGCGAGGTAAATTGTAGTGGTTTTGCAAACTGCTACCGCAAAAGTTGACACTACAATGCTTGTCACAGTTGCCATAACTTTTGCAAACAAACCTATGCAAGGTTGACCTGGAGGTGTTGCAAGTTGAATTTTTTTACGCGCGAATATGGCAGTGGTTGTAAAACCCCTACAACTTTCTGAATTTTGCATTTGGCATCAAAGGTTGTAGCAGTCTGGATCACGGTTTCGAAACTGTTGCAACATTTAAAATTTTAAAAATTTGTGGGTAATTTGTAGTAGTATAAAACTGCTACTAAAGTGAAAAATTCAAATTTCCCACTAGCACCAAATCTAAAATGTTTCCAAGATGTTAGTAGTTGTTAGTAGCAGTTTTGAAGAACCGCTACGAAAGTTTTTTAATTTATAAAAAATTTCTTTGAAGTAGTTTTTATTAATTTAATATATTATAAAATGTTTTGATATTTTATTAAATTGATAGGTATTTTTATAATATTTATGGGATTTTTAAAATTTAAATTTTATTTACATGTATTTTAATGATAATGATTTGTTTGAATTTGTTGTTGAAAGTGTAAATAATAGAAGATAATTAAATGAAAAGAAGTAGAAAACATTTTTCAGAAGAAGAAAATGTTAGTAAATGCAAATAAAATTAAACAAATGTAAGAGAAAATGAATTGAAATAATAGAAATAAATAATTAAATAAACAATTAAGGGATTAGAGAAATTTTACTTGGAGAGAAAAGAGAAACATTAGAGTGGAGAGGAGGATTGTCACATCCTAAAATATGGAAGTGACTGATATGGGATATACATCTACAACAGATCTGACCATAGAGGACGATTGTTTTTCATAATAGAGGACGGTTGACAACGGTCCTCTATTCAACCGTCCTCTATTGTTAAGACATATAAGACAGTTATAAAATGGTCCTATATTGAAGATAAATAGAGGATGATTTTTAAATAACGATCTTATATAACGTTTGAATTTTGGTCAAAACTGAAAATAGATAGGCCTTAGAGGACAGTTATATTAGATAACCGTCCTATGTTTGTTACATAGAGGATGGTTATGGTAACAACTATCCTCTATAAAACAAATATAGGATGGTTATCTAATATAACCGTCCTTTAAAGTCATGTTTTTTTTTTTTGAATAGGGTTAGCTGCTTTTCCAGCAGCCCCTTTGCAATAAAAAAAATGTGTATACTCAATAATACTCCAGAACAGCCCAGAAGATATATCCTATTCAATTGAAAACTATAATATTTAGAATTTAATTACATCAAAAGTATTGAATTTAAAATTCAATGATATAAATCAATCAATTTGAGGTAAAATACCAATCCCTAAATTATATCTAAACTATATATTGACAACTAAACTAATCTATTCCTAAACTAACTACATATTATCACCTCATATTGGATGTGACCCACTTTTCATATGCATATTCACTCTACCCATCGAGAACTTCATTAATTTGGGTATCATCAAAATGAGGTGTAGCACAATCTGGATAGCACTGCAGCATACATAAAAATAAAGTTAGTTGATGATAATTTACATTCATTATAATATAAAAAATATATTACACAAATTATAGATACCGTGATGGGGATTGTAGGCTGCCCATGAGTAATGATGTCTTTAGCATACCTTATCACACAGTAGCCGCAATCATGATTGTTGTTGATTTGTCGGGGGTATTACATGAAGAAAACCATAAATATATGTGTTATTGACATTAAAAAATGAAAACAATTGAGTAATTGGCAGTAATTTAAAGATACCTGTATTACATTTCATTCAATGGCATTCTTGTATTCCTTGAATGATCTCTTGTTTGAAAGATTTGCATCGATGTGATATAGCACAATAGCCCTAATATATGGAAGACAAACATGTTAGAAATGTAGAATTTTAAAAACAAACAAAATATTAGTTACTTGCCTATTAAATAGCTCCATCATATCTAGTTGGTTAGTTGGATCCCCACCATGAGGAGCTGAATCCAAATAGTATACCTTTGGAGCTTTAGGATTTGCTGGCTCAATCACAATAAGCATCCAGTGTCCCCTAGGAGAATTGGATGATATATGTTATAATTAAAATTTGAGAAAGACAATAAAATGCAATCAAGGTTTTAGAAAACCAAGTAACTAACCCATTAAGATAAGGAATCAAAAATAACATCTCCTTTGAACTAGTCTTTCCTTGAAGTACATGGTCAATGTTTGAGATTGTTGCTGTAAATGCTTATCGTTCTAACCGCCTTCAAAACTTGGGAACTCATGGGGATTGACAAACACAAACCTTGATCCCAGGTTACTAGGAATGATGAAGGTATCATACAAGTACTTGAATGAAGAAATTGACAGAAGTAAATATGAATAAAAATCGTATTTTGGATATATGAATAGGAAGAGTAATTAAGTACCTCATATAAATGTTCACTGGGCTGTTGACGACCTCATTGCACGTCAGGATGATATTGATGATGTCAAAGTCAATAATCTCACTAACCTCTTTCCAATACATGTCATCATTTGGTAGTATAAACTGTGCCACCATGTTCTTGGCCAATCGTGCATACTTTGCCAGCATATTTTGATTTATCTTTGGCAAAGGAGGAGCAACATCCACTAGTGCTAGTTTAGAGGTTGATTGTTTCTCGATCTTTGATAGCTGACCTGATTGTCTGGGGGGGTCATTCCCCTTGGACTAAGTTCTAATTAACATCAATTATTAAAATTTGAATTTTAATTGACTGTAATTTGAATTTAAACTAAGATAGTGCAAATTAATGGCATACCTGTGGTGGAGTTTCTTCTACTCCCATCCAGACAAGATGCGTGGGTTTAATTGATATAAATTTCCTCTAGCAGTCATTTATTATTATTTTCCCTAATAATATCATACTAGAGCGAACCCTAGTAATTTTAGACTATGAGCTTGAACTTGTTGAGACATCCTACCACCGACACTATGCAGCACTTTCCTGAAATTAAAAAAAATTGTGCTAACAACTACAACATCCATTGCTATATAAAATATCAGACCAGAAATATAAGACAATAACTTAAATTACATATTATTATTCATTATTCAAGTCAAAGAAATAATGAGAGTTAAGAGGAAAACTTATACTCTCAACATCAAAGGAGCTCTTATGAACTCAAAACATACCCAAACACTCTTAAGTATCTCTAATTTATATCACAGAAGACAAGTTTTATGGCAAAAGAGGAGGAGGAGGAAGAGAGCACTACTACAAAATAAGCTTACAGGAGCGTTTTTTCTGACCTTAGAGAGCACTTTTAAAGCGCTCACGTATCGTGTGCTTCGAAATGTACAGGAGCGCTTTTCTAAAAGCGCTCCCGTAAGAGAGCTCCAGTTTATAAGGGCACACGTCATGTACAGGAGCGCTCTTTATAAGAGCGCTCCTGTATGTCGCATACAGGAGCGCTCTCTATAGGAGCGCTCCCGTATGCTGACACCTTACCGGAGCCCTCTTTAAAAGAGTGCTCCTGTATGCCCCCATACAGGAGCGCTCTTTGTAGGAGCACTCCCGTATGCTGACAACTTACCGGAGCGCTCTTTTAAAGAGCACTCCTGTAAGTTACTTTACAAGAGCGCTCTTCAAATGAGCACTCTTGTATATTATATTTATTTTTTTTAAAATCAAATTTTTCATATTTCTCTTTTTACATATCTTTAACAATGGCAAATCATAATATTAAAAACTAATTTAAAAATAATATCAACATAAAAATTTATATACAAGAAAAGAATTTGAAACTGATACAACAATTTCAATTTTCTAATTAACCTAGTTTAATTTCTAACAAGCCTAACAAATGAAACTATTGTTATTTTTTTAAAATTGAAATATAACTTCCTATCACAAACAGCCAATAATATATTATGACTATTCTTCAACTAAATATTCTATTTGCTCCATAGTAAATGCGAATATCTTGCTCCAACAAAATACTACACAAGATATGAAAGCAATATATAAGTAATTAACATTATATTAACTTAATTTCAAAGCTTTTGACTTACATTTTCAAGAATGATTAACTCTTGTTGTGTGATTACTTCTCTCATAAACTTCATAACATAGTATCCACACTCCCAACCTTGTAACTGTGTAGGTACCTATAAAACAATAAAAGATGTCATTATCAAAATATGGTAGAAATAAATTCTAACTTAATTTAAAATATTTCAGTGATGAAGTTATATATATACAAGTATTTGCTGTCGAAAATCTGGCAAAGTCTCCCCTATAAATTGGAAGTTCCAGAATTTTTCAAAAATTCTACATCAATCCAAAAAAACATATTTAGAATAACAAATATAAAATATCAATCAAACAATCATTTAGATATGTACCAATTTGTTTTATTAAGAAAATAATACAAACCTTTATTCTTTTTCATGAATAAAACTCAACAGGATTAGGTCTTTTGGCATTTGGAGGGAGACCTTCACCTCCTCGATAATGTGCTACAACCTTATTATATAATGATTAAGTATACCAAGTAAAAATTAATTGTTATAATAAACATATATAAAGAATATAGAACTAAAAACTTATTGATTAAATAATATCCTCATAGATTTGTAGTTCTTAAAATCACTATCTCTTAATGAATCAAGATACTAAATCATAGGGACGAA